CGGAGCAACGGCCTGGCGGAGTCGAGCCAAAGATGGAGAATGCTGAGACTTATCAGATGACACGAGAACGAAGGAGGAACGCCGTCTTAGGCCAGTTCCACCATCATGGGGTTCTGAATTATCCACAGTTGTAGTGCGTAGAACCGGGCGAGCATTTGAGAGCGGGCGAATAACCACATCGCGCGCTCCAAAAGTCAGCCCGACGGACTGGGAATTAAGCTCTACGTCGGCGCTGACTGCATCTGAGCCAACTACGACAGGGAACAGGAGGAAAAGGAGCTCTTGCACATAGGTGGACGTCACAGCAAAGTCACGAAAGTGTTGAGACTTGACATGGATATCCGCGAGGAAGCCAACGACTGTGTTTAGCAGTTCAATATTCGACTCAGAACACGCATTTATCGCGGCAACATCTAAAAACAAAAGCCCAGTTAGATGTACAGAGAAATGTAATCGGGAAAGGGAATTAACAAAGGCTTGGAGAACCAACCTGGCGGCGTTGCGCTTGACATGGAGCGTCGATTTACACGGGTTCTACCGAGTTGTTCGGTATCTTTGAGAGCGGATGGTTCGCTGCTCCTTAGGACTGTCGCTTTGAGGCCGGCTTCGAGCATTCCTGTAACGACGGGAAGAATCTCAGGGAAGAGAACTTTCAACTCCCCATTAGAATTAAATAAATCTAAAAATCCGAAGTGGTCGAAAGGTCGGTCCAGGTCTAATTGTGCAACATCTTTCCCGAACAAAATAGCGAAGCAAATCGGCCACAGCGCAGGAATATGCCACCAGCGTCTCAGACGTCGTCGCATAATGACGAATCCACCTGATTTGTCTGCAAACTTCCTCGTATAGCTGCTGCCATGGGTTACTAGTAATCTAGCAAGAATAGTGGTTGCCAGCACCACGACTTCGGGATTGTCTTCTAAGATTAAGTATAGCAGCCACTAACGAAAGTGGAATGTCAGTAACGTGGCTAGCAATTTCGCATTACATGTCAACGAAGGACTAACCTTGTTGGTTACAGTTCTCGCAAATTTCGCAATATTCGTCGTGCCGTTCTCTTTACAAACGATGTTGGTATACGCTTTTAAGACTTCGATTGCTACTTGAGCTTTTGAGAGGTACGTTTTTTCTGAATGTAGGGAATAAGCCAACCTGGGCTGTCTAAACCGAGAATCGAACCGAGCGGCTTTTTTCTTCTGCAAGTTTGTCTGCCGCTTCACACTGTGAATGGAGTAGGTGATGAACAGTGCTAGGGACCGAAGAATTTCCGCCGACATGCATGATTTTACTAATGAACTAAGTGAAGGAACAAAAAGTTTGATAGATTCCGCCGTGAAGCTCTCCCCTTTAATCGCATCCAGGAGCTTCTTGACGACACCTAGAAAAATATATGTCAGCATTTTAGATACGAAAATACGCAGCAGAATGATAGGGTATCGTACGCATTCGTGAAAGACGCTTGGTATTGAATCGGTGATGCCGGCACTCAGAGCAGAATGTGACAAATTGAGAGTAGTATATCTCAAGCAAAGGCAGATCTCCAAGCCTCCAGATGTCCAAGTCAACAAGAAGGACTCGATACGCTAGTGGGTTAGTAATTACAGACTCTTTCGGGTCCTTGAAGTCATAGCCAACAAATTTTAGAATTAGGAGCAGAATCTCCATGGCTAACCCGGTGCGGTGTTCCGGGGCCGGAAACAGAGCGGTAGGCTTCGAAATGGCATTCTGAATGTGGGATGAAAGGCCAAGCTTCTCACGAAGGAGAATGGCAAGTACACTGTAGGCATTCTCACGCTCCATCGCCTCACTATTTCTCCAGTTATCTTGAACGGCTTCGAACAAAGATTCCACAGCAATACAAATGCTTTCGGGTGTGGTTGCTGCTTCAATCAAGCTGAGATGTGGTGCAGCACAACCGCCAATTCTCCAACTAGCATCGTCTAATGACTGTGGTACAGTCACAACAGGATCTCCAGTCAGAGTAGCAACACCACGTGCTTGTGTCAAAGCATCATTTATTGCAGGAATGGCACCATTGACAGCGACAGCATTTCCACCAGCTTTGGTGAGATGATTCAAATTTCTAGCGGCCTGCTTTGACAACGACTTCACCAACTGGGATTCGTCGATGTTATTGCTATCATCATCATCGAGGACTGTCATTGGTGATATATTCAGGAGGACGGAGCTTTCCGGGATCAGGGTACTGGCTTTCTGGCGAATAACGGCAACAATATCCGACTGGTCTTCTTTACCAGGATGGAGACTCTCGTTGCGTAGATTCAACTGAGCAGATGCCTTGTAAGTTTGGAATGAACCTAAACAATCCTGGAAATTCCCATGATATCGTGGGCCCAAATGGTAGAAAACCGCTATAATGTCGTCCGTAAATGCCTCGTCGAATAAGATGGCAGATGCCAAGGACCATCGGGACGTTGATACCCCTTTGCCAAGTCTGGTTGCTAAGTCCTCCGGAGTACCTAAGAAAGCCTGGACTCGAGGCACGCGGTTAGGGACAGAAACAGCTGGAAGAGATGGGTACTCGGGCTTTAACTGCTCTACAAACTCTCCGTTGACAAATAATGTAGCCCTTGACGATGACATAGGTCGTGGTCTTTTATGGACAATGCATATATGGTACCATTTCCCAGGAGCAAAAATCACTGACTTGAAACGAACACTCGGGCGCGCCCCCCTCATTGAAGTCTGGAGGATAAAATTACGAGTATCCTTTTCAATATATGCAAGTACAAAACAAGCTTGGCTAGGATCAAAAGCTCCAAATATTGTGGTGTGGGCATCCGGGTCAAAGTTATCGAAGCGCGCCCACACGGCAAGGGTATATCCAGCGGAATGAGTGGGGGGAAATGGTTTGCCCAACGCCGGCAACTCAAGGGAAGAGTAGCCATGCCTTGAGAGGTCAAAATGAATACACGCGGGATTCTTCGACGACTTGATGGCATCTAGAAGGAATTTTAAAACAGTAGGGGAGTCATGAGCCGCTCGATAGAGCTGGGCGGCATCTTCCAAACTATTTATGCCTTCAGAGCAAAGAATGCTAGCAAGTTGGCGATACAGGTCCCGGTCTGGCCCGAGCCTTTTTGAATCTGTAACAATTTGGAGAAGGCTGCTCAGCATGCCCGTTGAATGGAGTGCTAATAAATTGCGTCGAGACTGCTCTGCTAGATGAATCAAGCACGCCGGAAAGGCCAGAAGTTGGATTGAGTTCGGAAAATCCGATGACTGCGCCAGCCAGAGCTTTAAAAGGGGCCCCACGAACTCGCCATTTTCGATTGTTTCCGATGGCCCTAGAATTTCACCAACAACTTCTCGTACTACTGAAGAGTTTGAGCTGTCATTGTTCGGCTGAACCTTTTTCCTGATCACAGTGAAAAAGTCAGAGAACATCTCTTGTCCCAGAGCCGCAGCGAGGAGTCCGCCATAAAACTGCTCAATGTCAGTAGCTTCAGGGCCGGTAGCATCTTCAGCATTCTGGCTAAGTTTCCTGCATAATGGCGACAGGCTACTCTCCAACAGGGTAACACCACCAGAATCTAGCTTTTTGACGAAGTATCTCTTGTTTCCGGGATGGTCTTTCAGGCTCTCAGCGAGGACGCCATGGATATCTTTCGCTAGGCCTAGAAGGCCTTTCCTCTCCTCCCTCGACAAAGCCGCAGGGTCATATATATCCCCTATTTCCCGTAGTAGTCGGAGTAAAGTTGGGAATCCCAGCAGCTGGCGGAAAATATCTTTTGCGCCCCTCGTGTTCTCATCATCGATAAAGGTGTGACGCAACCGGAAGAGATTTTCAGTTGCACGGAGGACATTGTGAACAGACTCAGCCTCCTGATTGCAAACATCGGTTATTGACGCAATGACAGGACGCAATTCAGTGACCAGGCGTTCTGAGGCAAGCGAAGGCGGGGACGATGGACGCCGGGAGCGGGAGGAGGAGCTACTCATGGCTCCTACGCGGAACCTAACTTCCTATTTGCAAACTACCAACAAGATTAGGACTAGGAAGGATTTAATTCGGTCATTGAGAAGGTGTTACACCCACAGTATTTAGCTACCGAATAATGAAGACTTTAACATTCAGGTCATGTATGCGAAATCCACGGTGGTCAAAACGAGTCCTCTCCAAGGTGAGATGACTCGATGCCAACGTATTTCAAACATTAGATGTTGAATTTAAAATGTTAAATAATAGAAGTAGGACAGAACGATACGAAGCGCTCATGAGAAACAGAAAGCTGTCCTCTTGTTGCGCCGGTGAAGGTCCGGGATATTACTGCGTAATGCGGTCAGCCCTGTCCTGTGTGCTACTACTTCTCGTCCGTCTGCGGCTCAAGCAGCGCTTTGTCGCAAAACGAACCTCGGAACGGAACAACGTTTATGAGAATTCCCAATTTAGCTAGCGAGTGGGCTAAATTCCAACCTTGTCGTTAATCATGTGATCTTTGCACCCCAGTTGCCGATAAGACTGAATCTGCGCCAGCTAAAACGATGGATACGGTGGATCCGCGGGGGAATAATACAGTGGCAGTAGCTCATATAAAAACTCTTTCTATATAAAAAACGAAAAAAAAAGAATTATATAAATATAAAAAGAACAATAAAAATAAACAGAGAAATAAATAAGAGAAATAAAGTAAGATATATATAATAGTGTCCTGGGTCCGGGCTCTAACTTGGCCGCGCCCGGCAACCCATCCTTCTAGTGGTGTCTTGCCTGCTCCGGACCCCGGTGCCTACAGTTACAAATAGTGAGATAATAAGATAATAATATATTACAAACTGTAGTCAACTCAGAAAGCAGCTGATATATTAATTTTATATGATTATAGAAAAGTTATCTTTTTTATATGACTGATTGACATAGCTAGCTAGCTATATGAAACGTGTGTGATTATTTGCGAGCTCGTAACCAAAATGACGCAAGGTTACTGTACCTCGGTGTACTGTAACCAGGCGGTGTATCAGGCGGTCACATCCAGCATTTCCGTTACAGTATCGTTACCGGGCCACCACCGGCTGACTAACGCAGCTTTCCCCATACATCATTCCTCCTGTCCGCCCCAAGCTCAACGACTTCTCTCCTCTCCCATCCAACGTCCGTATCACCCTCCCAGCCATCTCCAACCTCCTCTCACCCAGCCTTCTCCTCGTCTTCCATCTGTTGTATCATTCTCCTTTTGCTTCGTAGATTTTATCTTCTGTTTCGCTCATTTCCAGTGTCCTTCTTTCGTCAGCATGAAAGGCCTTCTCGCCTTATCGATCTTCCCGCTACTGGCGGCCTCCTCGCCGCTGGTGATTGATTCCATCCATCAAGATGCTGCCCCCGTTCTGTCATCAGTGAACTCCAAGCATGTTGAGGACTCATACATCATTGTTTTCAAGAAGCATGTCACCAGCGCTTCAGCAGCTGCCCATCAGAGCTGGGTGCAAAACCTCCACACGACCGCTTTGGCCAAAAGATCACAGCTCAACAAACGTAACCAGTTTCCGTTCAAGAACGACGTTTTCTCCGGCCTGAAACATACCTACGATATTGCTGGCTCGCTTCTAGGATACTCGGGTTCCTTCGACGAGGAGGTTATTGAGCAGGTCCGCAAGCATCCAGATGTAAGTGACTCCTCCCTCCCTGCTAAGGTGCAGCGTCTTGGCAGAGCTCCTGACTCTAACCCCGTTTCGGATTTGCCTAGGTCGATTTCATCGAGAAGGACTCTGAAGTCCATACCATGGAGAAGCATAAAATAGAACACAATGCCCCCTGGGGTCTGGCCAGAATTTCACACCGGGACAGCTTGAGCTTCGGCACATTTAACAAGTACCTATATGCAGCTGCAGGAGGTGAAGGTGTCGACGTCTACGTCATCGATACTGGCACCAATGTCGACCATGTTGATTTCGAAGGACGGGCATTCTGGGGGAAAACTATCCCAATAGGTGATGAGGATGTTGATGGCAATGGCCACGGGACCCATTGCTCCGGAACTGTCGCAGGCAAGAAATTCGGCGTCGCCAAAAAAGCCCATGTCTACGCTGTCAAAGTCCTGAAGTCCAACGGCTCTGGAACGATGTCTGATGTCGTTAAGGGCGTTGAATGGGCCACTACCCGCCATTTGAGACAAGTGGAAGCCGCTAAGTCAGGCAAAGGACGGAAAGGCTTCAAGGGTAGCGCCGCCAACATGAGTTTGGGTGGCGGAAAGTCTATGACGCTCGATCTCGCGGTTAATGCAGCCGTTGATGCTGGCATCCACTTTGCTGTAGCTGCTGGCAATGATAATGCCGATTCCTGCAGCTACTCCCCCGCTGCTGCTGAGAAGGCTGTCACTGTCGGCGCCTCCACTCTTGCTGACGAGCGTGCTTACTTCTCCAACTATGGACCATGCAATGATATCTTCGCACCTGGTCTTAACATCCTCTCTACATGGATTGGCAGCAAATATGCCGTCAATACCATCTCCGGTACTTCCATGGCATCTCCTCACGTTGCCGGCCTCCTTGCCTACTTCCTTTCTCTCCAGCCAGCTGAAGAGTCCGCCTTTGCTGTCGCTCCCCTTACCCCGGAGAAACTTAAGGCCACCCTCATTGATATCGGCACCTGGGGCGTACTGACCCAAGTTCCCGCGGATACTGAGAACGTAAGTTATATCTGAAAATTATTGGCATGAGACAAATTGTCGTTACTGTTGCTAAACATTTGGATAGGTCCTTGCCTGGAACGGGGGTGGCTCTTCCAACTACTCCGCAATTGTGGCCAAGGGTGGGTACAAAGTTGCGTCGTTCCAGGAGCAGGCCCAGGATACTCTCGACAGGCTCGAGACGGCCGCTAATCATGAGCTCCACGCCATCTACAGCGAGCTCAAGAGTGCGTTTGTCTTGTAGAAACCTAAACCACGACCTCAGCATGGTATCATGTCTCCGTAATGTCGCTGGGGCTGGGTTGGGCAAGATGGCTGGATGATGGCCTCGCCGACAGGCGTAAAGTGCCGTATGATTTGCTTTCGCTTTCCCCTTTCTACTCGTTCTACTCATCTTTCCTCCTCTCTCAATACATGTGTGCAATTTCTTTCATGCGTTTGCGCCGGTTTTTCTCTCCAAATCTCCTAGGAAACGTTGGTCGTTCCTAACTACTCTGTGGTTACGCGTGGTGCTTGTATTGGTTTTGTTTTTCACGTCACTGTTATCATTACACTAGGACTCTTGTTATCATTTTTCTGTGTTAGAGACGGCGACACAGTATAAGGCACCCTATATACATCTTCTGCCACCCATGCACCTGGGTGAAATGTAGACCTGAATGAGGATTTCATCAGTACCTTTTATCTTAACCTATTTTCCTTCAACCTATTTTGGTTTCCAACATCGCGTAGAAGCTCCCTCAACTCTGCCGCGTGATAATAAAACATGGGCCAAAAATGAATCAATCCTACCGGCTGCCTAGACCACGCAGTAACTATACCAAATATGTCCTCTAACTCTGTCACCGAAAACTTCCCTCTAAAAACACCCAAAGCCGCTACCAAAAGAGTATTTGAAAAACCGTACCTCTGCGGCTCAATACCAACCATTCCGTTGGGGGCGGGACGACGGGACGAACAGCCTTGGATTATCGAGAGGCAGCCGGCTGCGTGAGGCGAAGGTATTTATTTTGTGGAAGTGTAAAGTTTGCTTGATTGATGATTGCTACCTAAGAAAGAAGTTATATGGTGGAAGAAGGATTACCAAGCTAGATCATGACATTCTGTAGGCTACTGGGGCAAAAGAGCTCACCAGCGCACTGCTGGTAGAAGGGCCGATCAACCCGGGACCCCCAAGACATTCTGACTCACTATAGTAACTGTACATGATTCTAATCTGTATTGATCATATAATCTCAAATCTCTTGTCTGCTGTTTCACTATATCCAGCTCTGCAGTCTCATGTTGAACATGTGTTTTGTACCAGTGGCTTTACTACTGCCTCCCTACGGAGTAGATGTCTCCGACAAAGGCCCCCATGATGCCGGGGTTAAACCTGCCAGTCGACAATACATAATTTAGGCTCCGATAGAGAGCGATTGCATCAATTTGCATGTATGTATTGTATCCGACGGCCCCACCCACCGCGGGCTGATTGGGACCTTGGCTTTCTCCTTTAGCCCGGCTGGCGACAAGGCCGGGTGTTTGTTTGCGGAGTTTATTTTAACTGTAGGGTAGGGGTTCTGTGAATCTCAGCTACGACGTCAACGTCGCGCCGTTGATGAATGTTGCTAGCAGCCTTCACTCTTGTTCAAATGCATCATCACATAAGAAATTTTATTGATCCTCTCGCAAGTGTTTTGTTCAGTCCGCATATAAATATCATGTCTGTCCTTCACTTCAGCCCTAGTAAAAAGCCTTTCAAGGTTAATCTATTAATGTGGAAGGTGTAAAGCTTGTGTGATTGAAAGGTTGCTAGCTTGTGGAAAGTAATATGGTGGAAGGATTAATAAGCCAGATCACGTGACCTGACACCCCCACTCACCAGAGTAACTATACACGATGCTATATACAAAATTCGCCTTCAAATCAAGTACAGGTACAAAAAATGACTGGAAAATGTGTAGTAATGAAAAACTAGTCATGAGATATATCATTTTTTATCTCTTTATTTCCCTATCTTCTTTATATTCTCCTTTCAATGTGTATATTTCATCATTTCAAGTGGTTTAGTAAGCTCATCTACTGCATTCTCAGCAGATGAAACATGTTAGATAGATATCTCATTTTTACAGATAAGATTCTGAAGAATATGAAAACAGACCTCTATATACTTCAAGCAGTGTGAAATTGCTTCAAAAGAAAATAGCTCTATAACAGACTTATTATCAGTATGAATTATATAAGTCAGATCATTGACTGTGATGAGAATGAGATAATTATCAGTATTCAGATTAGACTGACTGTGTGACCGTGTCTGAGATCACAATTCAACTGATCTCATTATACAGTTTTAACATTAGATAGTAGTTTCATACTGTCTCAGTAAGACTTACTGTTTACTCTTATCACATTTTTCAAATAAGATTATAATTTTCACTTCTCAATTTAAATTATTTTTATTGCTTTAAATGACTTTAAATCTTATTTAAATATTATCAAAAAGTGTTACTTTTTAAAAAATTAAAAATAGTTTAAAAAAAATCTTAAAATGTCTAAAAATAGTAACTTTATACTAAGAATGAGATTAAATGAAATTAAATGAAATCACTTTCTTATTTTTTTTAAGTCATGATTTCATTTTAAGATCTGATATATAGTTACTTTGTATGTTTTTTTAATGACTAGTCTCAGTGAGATTCACATCAAGAAATATATAAGATCAGATTAAATGAGATTAAATGTGAAATTTATAATCTCAGCAGTCAGTCTAATTCAGATTGTTGAGATAGAATGAAATGAATTCAGTGTCTTCTAGAAGCTCGCAGAGATAAATCAGCTTATATACAGTCTCAGAGAATGCAATATATTCAGCCTCTGTTGATAATTTGAAGACCTCTATTTACTGACAGCTCTGTTATGCAACAGAGTCATCTGTTATATAGATAATATAATCAGTGATTAAATAAGATTCTGAATTTCTACCAGCTTAATCAGCATCTGTGTATGCTATAGATTCAATTTCAGTATCTCTGTAATAGATTATACTCTCATTGATTGAACCCTGTAGATATCAAAGTGTATACTTGAATATCACATTAAAGCCATTTCTACACAGAAAAGTGCATCAGACAGAGCGCTTCACCACGAACTCGCTCAATTTTTCGAATAAGAACCCGCCAATAGATCCATTGAAAAGCCTTTGATCATACGAGCATTTTGACCCCATCGCTGACTGCATACCCCGTGTGATGATGGAGTTATTCAGCCAAACATGAACCAGATGTTGTTTGAAACTCCTGAGTGGGATTATCCTCTGTTCACCCCTACCACACCACAACCCCGGGCCAAATTGCCATACAAATTGTAAGGCAAAGAGACCTAGTCATATGCATCAATCTTCTTGATTTTGGAAGATCTCTGATCTGTAATTGTGAAGATATCTGAGAAGCAACTTTCATGAAAACCCTGTCTATCTTTGATGTTCCAAAACATCAACGCTAAGTCTCACCCTTGTACCGCACCTTCTGATCTGACTCATCTAGACTGGCCGGCGGGACCATGAATTTCACATTTAATCTCATTTGATCTGGTTCTATACATTTCTTGATGTGAGTTTCATCAGAATCAAGCCTCAAAAAAATCTGAAAATGAACTATTTCTGACAGAAATGATGTGAAAAATAACCAGATTTAATTCAAGAACAGTGAAATGAGAGTAATTTCTCAGAATAAACTGTGAAAGATGATCATTCTTTCAAAATCAGAATGAGACTGAGACTGAAGATTAAAATCAGTCTCATTCAGTTCATTCAGTGATTGCTTATATAATCAGAATTTGATAATAATTATTAATAACATTCATGAAATAACTAAATACATTCTTGTGTAAGTTTATTCTTCACTTTCTTATAAAAACTACACTTCTCTGATATACTGTAATCAGAGATATTAAACTATCTGATAATTCTATGTTTTATAATCATAAGTTTCTTGATTATTTCTTCTTATAATTGTTCTCAGTAATAGTAATAAATATCTCAACTTGAGTTAAACTTTCACTTTATTCTCATCTCTGTTAATGAAATTATCAGAATATTATATATTATCAGTGTAACAGTTGAATATATACTCTTAATAATTTTTCATAACTCTAGAATTGATTTAGTATGTAAATTCATTGAATTATCTTGAAGATAGCAGTTAAATTCAGTTTTATAAGTATATAGTTTTATCTGATTTTCAGTTGTAATCAATATATATAAGTTCTGTTTCAAAGTTAGTATTATAGTTCTATAAGATATGAAGTATTATTAAAAATTATTACTTACTAGAAAATTATATTTCACTGTCTTCATATCTTGAATATCTGCTCATTCAAATCTCTGATAGTTAACATTATAGTAGTCTTAGATTAATTTAATATATAAGTCTCATTTCTTCTCTATTCAATCTTGAGAAGTGTAGATATTAACTTAACAGAAGAAATCTAGTAGAGCTACTATAGTATAATACTCTGTAAAAGATTGTTCAGTTTTGCTATAGTAATATATTAGTTTATTTCTTACAGTAATAATAGCCTGTGCTATAGTATTATCTCAGACTGAATTTCTTTTTAAATGATTTAACTGCTTCTCAAGATGAGTAAATAAACTGTTATATACTTATCAGACTGACTGCAGCATTGATGTATAAGTGATAAAGACTGTCTTTATTATCTTATAAAACTGAAATAGTAAATCAATTATATATTTCAACTGAGTTCACTTTATATCAGAAAGTTTCAATATCTGAATCTTTTTCTGATTAGAGTATTATACTTAATGATTAATTATCTAATATAATCAAAGAGTCTGAATAGTTATCTTATATATTGAACTTTACTATATTTTAATATTCTGTATCATATTCAGTGATATGACTGATTTATTTATTTATTAAATATTATGAAATTATTATTATTATTTAGAGAAGATATAAATTATATTAGTAATATTTCAAATCTGTAATATTTAAATTATTAGTCAATCTATTCAAAATTAACAGTAGTATTATCAAAAAGTGTTATTAAAAAGCAATATTAAAAAGTATTATTAAAAAATATTATCTTTTATAAAGTAAATGTAAAAGTTACTTGAGTAATTACTTTCATCTCATTCTCATCTCAAGAATCAGTCATCTCATTATTCTTTATCTTGATATTAAGATTCTTTATCAGTGTTTATATTACAAGTTAAATCACATGAGCAATGCAGAGAATATGACCTTATTTATCATTTCAGAAATGCAAAGTCAATTTTTACTCTAAGCTCTTTATTATAGTATAGTTATTCACAGTATTATCAGTTGTAATTATAAGAAGACTGAGACTAATATCTTAATAGTTATTTTTAATCACAGTTATTAATATCTCTGTTATATAATTCTCAGTATGACTACTGATTAATGATTTAAATTCAATTAATATCTCTTAATAAGTTCAGTTCTTATCAATATAATAATATATAACTCTTATAAATATAAGATTGTTTATACTAGTTCATGTATTCACTGTGAGAGATACTCTTTGATAATTCTTCAACTCTGATTCTAGATATTATATATTAACTTTATAGTATATTTCAAGATTGAACTGAAGACAGAATTAATATGAAATATAAAGATTTGAATTAAGCATTTGAAGAAGTGTTCAGAATTCAGAGTTTTCAATTAATTGAAGAGAAAGATTCAGAGATATACATATGTAAAGTAATTATTCACAGAAGTTATCAGATAAGAGTTATGAAATCAGAGTACTGATATATAATTATTTTTATATAATTTTCTTCAAATTAGAAAGTTAGTATTATTAAAAATTATTATCTGATAGAGTAACTTATCAGCTCAGTAGTAATTTTCTAATTATTTTTCTTTTATTATCTGCATTCTGATGACTTCAGATATCAGAAAATTTCTTCAGAGTCATAATCAGTTTATAATGAATATTTCTAAATAAAGTTACAGTAATTGTAGTAGAGAGATGACTCTTCAGTAATCTATAATATAATCTGTTAATAATTATTTTATAGTTCATCTCAATATTTATGTTGAGTTTTTCATAAATTTTATAATCTGAAATCAGATATGAAGAATGAAGTAATTATTTATCATGATTGAAAGAGAGTATTCTGTATTAAATTATAAATAATATAGACTTTGTAATTCACAGTAATTTCTTGAAGAGTTTATAAATCTTCAATAGAAGTAAAAGAAGTGAAAGAAGTGAATTCAGAAGATATAATAATAATTTAAGAAAGATAATAATTTATTTTTAATAACTGATCACTGATGTGTGTAAGAAGAATTAATATAAGAGAAAATAATCTTGTTTCTTAACTTAGTTATAATTTTAGTACTAACTTAGATTGAATATTATTAATATATAAAAGTAAATAAATAATCTTGATTAATCTCTGTCATATTTCTTGAAATATATTAATATTGTGAAAGAGAGTGTT